AACCATATTTGCTTTAGGATACAGATAATCAAGATAAGAAAGTGATCGAAGCTATTGAAGATTATTACGACTTTCAGCAGACATATTTAAAGGCATTAATAAACTCTGTTCCGATAGATACAATTAAAGAAATTTGGAAAGTCATTCCTTATATAGTACCAAATTCATATCAACATATTATTTTGCTTGACAATGGCACACATTTGTGCACATGTTTACTTTTAGTATCACGTAGAGTTGTTTGTCGACATTATTTTAAGCTAATGGTAGAGAATCCAAGTGTGCTATTTCATGTGATGCTAATGCCAACAAGATGGTTCAAAGATGATTCATGGAACTGCTTAGAAATAATTTCTAAAGAGCTATTTGTCAGTGTATCATCTTAAGAGATTCAGAGTAACAATGATATACAAAAAATTTTTCCAAGACATCTTAATAATATTCAAGAAGCTAAAACTTGGTCTCGTGTACAAAACAGGGTAGAGTATGATAGACTTATGGATAATTTTAAGAAAGCCTTAAACTATTCAATAAAGGATGATGATCAGAAGAAGTTGAATGAACTTATTTTGTCGTATATTGCTGGAAGAGAAAAAAAATGAGAAGCTGAGGCTCAAGTGACAGATAGCGAAGGCCAGACTTTAACTGTGAGATTAATTGATAGTCATGTATATAATGTTAATGATGTTAATGATCCATTGGTACGTCAGAGTAAGGGTAGACCAGCCACTAAACGTTTGAAGGCTTTCAATGAAGAAAATGGCAGTGCAAATCCCAAAAAGGTGTAACAGGATAATATGCATAATAAAGAAAAGAATCATGTAATAGGTGTATATAAATACCGTACATGTCATGAAGTAGGGCATTATGCTCTTAAGTGTTCTAATAAGGTGGAAAACTAAGAATGCTATTAGCAATAGCTAATTTTAGTCAATTTTCTTATACAAATGATATGCATATCTAATTAGCAATGTTATAGCATAATTCTTTTAATGTAGTTTTAGTAAACATATACATAATTTTAATGCATTTTCAAATATATCAAAGCTTTATCTAATTAAGCATAACGATAATTTTGCTGACAATTGTAAATTCTAATTTACTTAAACTGCTATTCAAATCGAGAGACCTATTATACACATATTCAAACAATTCAATTTAATACTTACATACGTATGTATATGTAATTATTGATATTTTTTGTTATTTCGGTACTTACGTTGATCATGTTTTAATCAAATTATTTATTCTTATTCTATTCTTATTCTCATCAATTCAACTAATAAATATAAAGTATTAATTTATGTATTTAATACAAGTTATTCATTATTCGAGTGGGTTTATATAGTCTGAGACTATAAATTCTTTTTTTTTTAGTATTTGCATTGATTATTTCAATTGAAGTATTTAAGATAAGTTATTAGTTTCTTATTCTTATCAATTTAATTATGAATATAAGATATGTGATCTCATTTAATATTCTACTTTAGTCTGAGTGTAACAATTCTGGTGTTTAAGGTAAACCATTCACTTAATCATATTTTTAATTTGATCGATTTAATTATGTATGTACGTTTATGTTATAAAAAGTGATACCTCTTTTTACATATAATGCTAAATATAGTTTATAAATCAGGATAGATCAATAATCGTAATAAAAACAATGAAATGTAATAAGAATTCTATATAATAGTTCTGTAACAAGGTAAGCAAAAGATTTCTCTATAAAGCTGGTTTCTTTAAATATGAATCATTAATATTTGTGAAAAATCGATTTTAAATAGTTGAAAAATCAGGTTATTTTAGCATATTTATATAATACTGTTCCTGAAAATTGATTATTAGGTATAAAAAAAGTCTACATATGTCTAGAGGCAATTAAGTCTTTAGAACAAAATTACTTCATTACTTGTAATTAACAATATATTCATTTAAAGATTGTTAAGGTTATTAATTTATTAACTTTAAGTGATAATATACCAATGTGAATACACAAGTATAGTTTGAATAGAGCAGTGTTCAATAAAGTTTTAAAGCACAAACTAATTAGTTTGAGCAGGAAAACATCCTTAATTAAGATCAGATATAATCAGTATTCATCATACTTACTAGCTTAATTTTTGAATAATATCGCTTAGTCAATTTAATCTTAGAACTATTGTTAAATCTAAAATAGCAATACTGATAGATGTCTTTGTTTAAATAAAACTGTTTAGTTAACAAACTACAGATCAATATTATACTAAAAACTTAGTATGTGATAAGGTTCTTTCAAAATGATATTTTTTTTAGCTAGCCGTTTAAAATTTGCAGTTTGCATAGTGAATAATTAATAATTATAGTAATTTAAAAGTGTAGTAAAATATAATACATCACTGGTTATTACAAAATATGCATATTACATAGGTGACAAATAATATTTGTAGCCTCTCAGTAATAAATAAATTTACTCTTAAATAAATAATTAAAAATTAATAATTAAAATACAAATATGTAAATGATTAAAATACAAATAAGTAAACAATTAATAACGATTAATAATGATTAATAATGATTAATAAGAATTAATAACAATTAAAAATACAAATATGTAAATAATTATAACGATTAATAATGATTACAATACAAACTATATGTAAATATATACCTAACTGCACCAGCCACTGTGAAACCTATTAGTAAATTCATTTTTACTAATGTTTGCCATAAATTTGGAGAAGTTATCATTTAGATACTTTTTGAGTGCCTCCTTTAAAATGCTTTGAGTAGGATATACATATTGCGGAAAAAGACATTTTACAATGCCAGTAAATATATCCTACACAAAATTAAACAAATAAATTAAATATACGTTTCATATATTCTATATTATATATCACCCTGGTTATATCGATACTTTAAAAAAAATAAAAAATTGTTTGGTATATCTAAATGTTATTGTTATAATTCCTATATATCCAAATGTTAATATAACCAGAGTAGTGTTTGCTGACAGAAAACTTATATCCAGCACTTTTGTGGAGAGATCTTTCTCTTGGTCTACCTGTCGACATTTCACTTTGTCTTTAACTTCGCGAACATCTTCGCTTAGTTTTTTGATGAGCAGGTACAATTGCTGGTTTTGTATAAAAAGTCACTCATAGATTTGTTGACGGGAACCAAAATGCACTTAGGTATATAATAAATAAAAAAAAAAAAAAAATCGAAAAAATCGAAAAAAAAAAAAAATTTAAAGTTCTGACATCTAAAAATCAAAAAAAATTATCAATTTATATACTATGATCATAATGATCATTATATAATTCATTCCGATTGGAGGTTTGATTATCATTATCATTATTATAATCATCCAGATTGAAAGATTGCCTATCATAATCATATAATCTTAACTGTAACCTTTCTGATTGTGGTGATACTGATCGATTTCATTCATTTGAAGGCATTAAATGATATGAATTACGTGAAGATGATGGTTGTTGAGAATGTCATGAGAAAGATGTTTGTCGGGATTGTGTGGTTTGATGTGAGAGAGGTGTTTATCGGGATTGTGTGGTTTGACGCAATTGATTTCTATTTCTTCCTTTTCTACTCATTCTTGTAAATATTTTTTGTGCACTTACAATACTTTTAATTAATGAATCTAAATCATCATCATTATCATTATAAGTATTGCATGGTTGATGTGAGTCAGTGATATTTTGATATGAATAGATTGGAATTGATCGTAATCGAGTTGTATTGATATGTTTGGTGGGATAAGGAAAAGGTAAATTACCAGATAAATTGTTGAAAGGAGGTAAGTTACTGAATAAATTGTTAAAAGAAGGAAAGTTAAGGATAGAAGATAAGTAGTTGAAAGGAGGTAAGTTGTTGTTGTTAGGAGGTAAATTGTTGATGAGAGGTAAATTGTTGGAAGTATCATTAGGAGCGTTAGTTGGAGTATTATTAGAAGTGGCGTCAGTTGGAGTGTTATTAGAAGTGTTATCTATCGCAAAAAAATTTTCAAAAATATTTTATCTTTTCAAATGCAAGAGCAAGTATATTTATATATATTCCTAAAAAATAATAATTTTAATAAATAATGATATTATCCGTTATATGAGAAAAAAATAAATATATACGTACTGTTACAAAATAGATTTTTAGTATAGATTTTATTAAACATTATTTAGTTATTTTTAGTTATTATTATTCAAAATATT